ATAACCAGGGCCAGTTTGAGGGATTTGGGGCTTCAGTGCAACATCTGTTTGGAGCCACCTCTACAAATATTCCTACATTATCACTACAGCTGGATTCCTGCAAAAGGAAATGTTAAAGTGAAGTATTCAACATGGAATACCTACAGAATTGAACTAAAAATGCAACTAGAACAAACACATTGGAAACAAAGTTACCCACAAAATAAAATCATGTTTATGGTTAGGGGAATTATCCTGTTAGCCCAAGTTGCCTATTAACTAATACATAGCACTGCTAGTTTATGGGTGGTCCTGGACCTTCAAAAATCCACTCAGCCCAGTCTACCCATTGGCTAACACAGAGCTGGATTTGCTAATAGGTGCCCCTGTCTGTCTGAAAACCCTGTGAGACGCTTTAGCCAATAGGCAGACAGGCCCACTTGAAAATCTCATTGACCTGCTCTACCCATTGGTTAACATGGAACTGTGATGACTTGTAGGTGGGTCTGGCAACCAGAACATTGTGTTCGAAACAAATACAAGGGGCTCTGTTGTGGGCAGAGCAGTGGAAGCAAGCAGCCAGTGCAAGGGAGAAATCTGGCAAGGCAGCAGCCATTGGTCCCCAGTTAGAGGGAATAGTTAGGTAAAGATATCTCAGTCACCTAAGGCCACCAAGTGAACTGTCAAGTATCAGTTTACTCAGGAAGGCAGAAGCCCAGAGTTTAAACTCTGGAGCACAGTCTCTGACTTATTAGTACTGCAAAACGCAAATGATCTCCATTTTTTCTCATCCTACATTCTTGAACACTTGGGAGAAAATACAATAAGTTACAAATACAGCATAGCATTTGTTGGACACAGTTCCATCTGTCCATCCATCCATAGAACAGAGAATAATTTCTGCATGATAAGCCACAAGGTGAAGCCAAACCACACAGGATACCATGTGAGAATGATTTGTTTATTCCTTTCCACTGAAGGTTTACTGAGGTAGGCCGTCTCTGGAAACTCCCCTATGGTGAGGCTGCTCAATTAATTCACAAACTAGAAAATAAAGATTTAATAGATTTTAATAAATTCCAATTGGCAATGCATTGGCTTAAGTCCCCACATTTTAGCTTAATTGGCACTACATTGTTACTGGAGCCGTTAATCTGTGATCTCCAATCCATTTAAGAAAGTGCACTTGCTTTTTATTGAAGTATTTTCAGTTGACTTCAGATCACCTTTTTTCACACAGCTAACAGTTATAATAATGTCAACAGGGAAAGTAATTTCAGTGTAAATAGAGTATTTGTTAGTTCAGATGACATCTTAAATTGGCTTCTGAGGAGAGACTGAACAGTAAATTAAACTTAAAGTAGGATTAAGATTAGCCCCAAAGGTCAAAATCGCTGGATTGGATACTATTTCCTTGTTAACCTATTATGTACATATATGCTTCCAGAGTCTTTTGACAGAAATGTGTACTAAATGTGTACTAAATGTGTATTAAAGTACACATTAATAGCCATTATAACAATTGGAGAGAGGCACAAACACAATACAAATATTCCCTAGGCAGAAAGAATGGCCATTTATTAACAATTAGCACAAATATAAAAATCACTATAACCCACAGCTACCATTACTGTATGACATTATACGGACCAGTTACTTAACTGCTTGAATGTGGGTTAAGCCAGCAATAAAATGGATAATAAAATGCTATTGCTAGCTAAAATCGCTTCCTTGTCTAATTAAAGATAAGAAGTGGAAGAAATACCAAACTATAGTTCAAGAAATTCAGAGAACTTTCATTTTCATTACTTGGTCAAAATGCTTGTTTTCCAGTTTTATATAATTCTCACCTGTACATTTAAAAAAAAATGGAAAACTGCCAAGGAATAACTCAGTGAAAAGGAAGACTATGTTTAACCCTTCATGCAGATAATTTTTCATTTCCCCATTCTCTTCAGTGGATGTTTCCTCCATTTTTAAAAACCGTACAAACAAAATTTCTCATCCTCAATACGGTTCCTCCCAGATGGAAAACGGTACAGATTCTGATCAGAGTCACAAACTATGCTTTTCCAGATATGGTAAACTACAACTCTCAGGATCTTCACCATCTGCCAAGCTATCCAAGGCTTTTTTTTAGTAAGCCAATAGATTCACTATACCTGCACCCACATTAAAGTGGCTTTCCGCAACCAGCAAGCCTTCAGATGTTTGAAAGTTACAACTCCTCAAATTGCCAGGTACAAGAGTGGTTCCCAGTTTAGTGCCCTCCAGGTGTGTTCAAGTACAGCTCTTAAAAAATATGAGCTATCATGGCACAAATGTTGATTAGAGATTCTTGGAGCTGCAGTCCTAGCTCATCTCAACAGCAGTAGGTTGGGAAAATTGCATTAAATTCTAGCTAAAGGATTAATGGAGGTTGAAAAGACAGTGTCTTATAACTGCTTCCTTCATTGTTAAACTATTAGGCTGGCAGCAGAGGGAATGAAGAGGAGTAAGCTCTGCTGAGAGGCCATATCAGCTGTCACCTGGCAAGTAGTCATTATATCAGGTTCATAGCAGAGAGACTGAAGGAGACAGGGCCACGATCAGCTGCAGCTTTATCACGCTCCCATTTCCATCAACTATCACTTGTCACCAGCCATTTCATCAGGGAAGTAAAGTGAAGCAGCGCTATCATCAACTCTGCTGAGAAGTCATCTTAGTGGGGTTTCAGCATCCATCTTCTGTCACCTGGCCACCAGAACAGAAGGACCATTCCTCTCTTTAAACCCTTTTCACCCCAGATGATTGCCATAAGATTGTTGTATTAAGAACTAACGCCTGAGCTTGCTCTTTGCTTTCCCCTCACAATTACCTTTCCTTTTGTGTTGGGTCTTTTTAGGATCCAAGGTTGAAGAAAAAAATATTGGCCTTTGTAAGCCAATTGAAGCCCAGGACAAAAATCCTAAATGTAAATACATACCAGACACTGCCATTGTTGGAACTGAATGTAAAAGATCTTAGATCAATTCATTATGGGTATTTTTAGGAATATCAGAAGCTGTTAATGAACTATCAGGTCTTTTTAAGGATGGTTTGATAGTGATTAAGATGAAAGTAGACTAGTGAACACAGTTTTAAATTATTATTATGCAAAGCAATCATAATGTTGCTTTGAGAGTTTACACTTCAGAACAACAAACATAAGTAACATGTTGCTCTGAAGTGTAAACTCTTAAGAATATAAAGAAAAATAAATGTTTTACAATAGAATATGAAGGTCAGATCAATAATTTTTCCATGAATCCCAGCAACAAATAAGGGTTCTTTGGTTCTCTGCTGCATGATGCCTTCTACCCAATCATAGTGATTGGTTATTATATTTATAAAGCTTTACCTATATTCATCATATTTAAATTCAGTCTACTTGCATATGTTAGCACTGGTTATGCTGTTTATAAATTCTGGGAATTGTAATATCAACATATCTGGAAACAACCAAATTCTAAATTCAATCCTAGATATTTTCAGAGTTGACTGGAATTCTAGCAAACACAACAAATGTCAGTAATGCCATGCTTTATGGATTAGGCATTCTTATATTCCTAACTATGCATCTTCTGTATGCAAAAGAACAGAATGCAGAATTGTTGTGGAGAAAATGATTTCAGTCATTTAATAAGGAATGGTATAATGAAGAGATTATTTTTGTTTCTGGAATGCTCAGCTCCAGCAGCTATACATTCTTTCCACTCATTTGTGCTAATTGTTTATTTATTTATTTAGAGTTCAAATTTGTCACTGCCCATCTCACTGCAGAGCAACTCTGGGAGGTTTACAGTAAAAAGAATAAATATTAATTAAAATAGAATAAATATGAATTAATATACATTAGAAGAAGACTTCCTATATAAATAATAAATAGCTTCCAAGACGTTTAGCAGTTCTTTTTCCCTTCCCCTAGGCCAGAGGTTCCTAAACTTTTTTCCATCACACTTCCCTTTAGTGTCACCTTAATGTACACACTCCCTTAAAAATCCAAACACCAAAATGAACACAAATCAACAATGAAAACAATATTGAAACTTTGGGAAAGGTGGATTTATTGTAACAATGGAACTAAAAGGTTCTTCACACCTCCCCTGGACTCTGTCTGCACCTCCCCAAGGGAGGTACACTTCACTGTTTGGGAAACCCTGTCCTAGATTCTCACGTGCACACGCAAATGTTATTTCTGAGATTCAGAAAGATTGCAGCTGAATAGTAAACCATGATTTTGCATTCATTACAGAACAAGAAATAATCTTGCATCTTCATGTACAGATTCGTTTTTTTTTCAGTATTATGTAGGCGCATGAGGGTGTGAAAGCAAAATTGCTACTTGAAAGCCAAACTAAACTGAAAAAGACTTCTCGTGCGAGTCTGGCTTGGCTGCTGCTTCTCCACAAGCGGACTCCTTTTTCCGATTTATTCCAGACACAGAACATTGTACAGGTGAACAGAACATTCTTATACAAGCCCACTCAAAAGGAAATCCCGCTGGCCCCTAGAGGAGCCATTTCCAGGTAAATAGGCATACTACCGCAGCTGAATTAGGATAAAAGACCGCAAACCGGAATCAAGACGCTGGAGAAGTAAAATAGGGAAAACGTAATTCAGCCAATCAAAGAATCCTCTTGCGTATTCCTATTCGAATCGTTCTATCCAATAGAAAACCCCGAAGTCTGAAGCTGCCGTGGACTTTAAGGCCATTTTTGATGGGGGAACAGCACTTAAAATCAAGTCAAACTTAAGAAGTGGGACGCCCTCACTAAATATGGAGAGGATGCAAAACTGGGAGTCACGTGCTGCGACACTTCTCTGCCCGGAGCCTGTAACCATAGAAATGCGAACGTTTGCAGTGACGTAAGCGCTATTCCGCTCTGAGGGCACATGCGCAGTACTACTTAATAGGCGGGGCAACGACTATATTGCAGAGGCTGGTAGGGTAGCCCCGCCCCCGAGGTTTATTAACTAACTTCCCGGAGCCGGGAAAGGGGTGTGGCTATATCTTTTCCCTGCCTTTGCTTAGCAAGGAGCTCCCGTGCGACCACCTGGGTCATGATGCCGGGCTCAGCCGCCATCCCCGAGGAGATCAGTAACTTCCTTGCAGGTGAACATCCCCTGCGCGGCTGGGAGGGAATCGCTGCAAACGGTGGCGAGACTAGGGAGCGCTTTGTTAGAGGAAGTATGGTGCGGCTACAGGAGAGTAAGGAAAGGAGGGAGGGTAGATCTGACACGGAATGGAGAAGTGACTTCTGGGGTGGGAGTGATTGCGGCTGGCTGCTGCTTTGGAAGGGAAGCCGAAGATCTAAACTGGAGAATCTTGTTTTCCAAGTGTAACAATAAATAGACGGGGGGCTCCGTAAGAGGGTCATCAAGGCATTTTGCTTAGAGGAGCAGCTGGGACACGAAGCAGGAGGATGGGCTGATGATCGGCTTTTCGTTTCTTAAATATTTGGACAAGAAAACCCTTCCCCGACTTGGACTAGGGAAGACTTGACAACAGGATTCTTCTGAAAAGCGGCATTTACACTCTTGCTCTCCTGTTTTGGAGATAACACTCTCAAAGTTTTTACCTTAACTTGAAAAATAAATTTGCATATTCTCATTGCTGATACTGTAAGTGTAAAGAGTTTAGCCAAGAAGAACTTAGAGAACTACTTGAGAAGCATTACAATGCTGGGATATGCCCACCTGAATTCCTGTTTTTTTTTTTTCTTGGAACAATATCCAAAGTGTAGAGTTGGAGCTTTGTTTCAGCCAAAAAAAGAGAAGCCTTTGACGTTTACCTATTTGGTTACATTTTCATACATTTTAAAATAGATTGCTCTGTGTTGTATTTCCTGTGTTGCACATTATACCCAGACTGAAGGCCTTCTAGTTTTTTAAAAATATATTTCCTTTTGACAGCTATATGCTTTCAAGTGAAGCTAAATCCCTTTTCTATTGGTGAATAAATACTAAATAAATAAATAATTGTATTTATGCCAGCACTAAATTTCTATCATAAGTTTGGCTGAAATTCTCTACCCTTGTATAAGGAAATGCACTCTTCTGAAGTCAGTGGGCTCTTCCTCTAAGTGAATAAGTATAATATTACTTAGTAAATAGCTCGACTCGCCCCCCCCCAATCCATTAGATTGAAGTTTTATTCAAGTATATATGGGCCTGTAAACACTTTGTTTAAATATTAATAGATTATTACATGAATGGTCATAACCAAGAAATAACTACATTAAATATGTCAAATAACCAGTGAATGAATTGGGTGTGTGTATGCCCACAGTAGTCGTGAGAAATACTGTAGCAGCTCAAACATGAACTCTGAGGCTGTAGTTCCATTAAAAAACATGAAAAATTATTAAATGCCAAATAAGTCTTGATCAATTACATCTCAGCCAACAGTTATTCTGTAGATTGAAAGATTGCTTGAATATATTTTTTAAAAAGTATAGCTCTGGCAAAATGTATTATGTCAGTTTTTCAAGAATGCCTTCCTAGGTGCCAATAGAAATAGACCTAACTTGCATACTCTGTTATGCTAGGTAAACATTAGGGTTACATGTACTTCAAAAATTATCTTGAAGAAGTGCTTTTGGGTCTCAGGCAATCACTGCACCTACTCCTGAAGGCAGCCTGACTTTTTTCAGGCTTCTGAGCAAGCCTGAAACAAATGGTGCTGTTTCTAACAAGTAACTCGTAAGGTAGTGGCATCTTCTTTCCAGATGTGAAATCATTGGGCTGTTGTAATGAATAGCAGAGAGATGTTGTGTTTATGTGGGATCTGAGGCACTTCTCATTCTTAATCATTTTTGAAGTGTGCTGTAATACAAGTCCCTCAGGTTGAGCTCAACTCCTCTTGATTACATGGACATGTCTGTATCTTTTTCTCAGCAACCAGAAGGAAGTGATTTGCTGTTGCCTCTTTCCAGAATATTTTTGATTTCCCAGTCTAGCTTACAGTCTTGGAGGTCTGCTATCTAAGAACTAACTGGGCCTGATTCTGCTTAGCTTTTCGAGATTAACAGAGATCAGCCAGGTACTGCTTACCTGTTGTGACTGTGACTTGTTTACTCATGATCTATTGAATAAACCAAAATTGGCTAGATTCATACAACAAGCTATCCTGTTAACCATGGCCTACAAACTACAATTTTTGGTTTTGTGCAATAAATTCAAACTAATCATATTATGTTTTAGTTTGATATGCAAACCCATCCTGTATCAGAAGAGAGCTTGCTCATTTTGAGACCATATGGTTGTAATCTATCTATTTGCCAGGGAATAAGTTTGACTTTTCCCCAGCCAGTATGGGGAATTCTGGGAGTTGAAGCCCACACATCTTAAAATTGCTAAGGTTGAGAAACACAGACCAAAATAAAAAGATGTATGGACTTTGGCTGCAAAGGACAAAAGGAACATAGTACTAAAGTCATGGGCACCCCTCGTGGCCTTTCTGTGTATTGCTGCTAACTGTGGTCTTATTAATATGACTAATTGGCTCGAGGCATAAGGACAAATGAATGAATTAGTTTTCCTTGATAAATCAGAAGTTAAAAACAAGCTAAAAAAATTCACAATAAATGATTGAAATAAACCTTCAGATACATACTTTTGTTGCACGACTAATTTTTGCAGGTCATAATCTTTCCGAATGGTAGGCCAATTATGGACCTGTTTTCTCCAGATCTTCCTCCACCCCCCCCGCAATTTATTATCAATATTGTGCTGGATATATATTTATGGAAACTGACTGATAATGAGAAACTTGAACAGAAAACGTTACAAAGGGAAGAGTGAATGAAATCTTAACTAAAGTTACAGCAATAGGATGGGTACCAAAAGTACATTGCTTATACAAAAACAATTGGAATGTTGACCTTTGAAGACATTGGTTCTATTCATGCATAATGTTCAGCCAGAAGTTTTTAACTCTAGATGAACACTTGATATTGATCTGATTTGCACATAACTCTTTAACAGTGGTTTGGTTCACCCATCACTTTACACTAAAAGCAAACTACATTAGTTTATCAGTAAGTATGAATCTGGTTATTCTGTGGTTATAAGGTAGAACTGAATACAATAGTTGCAGTCACATAAAAATTAGTCAAGATTTGGGAAAATCTTGGTTTGTTCGGAATGTTATTTCAGGCAACTCAGTTCACCTGTACTATTTAGACCTCTTTCCCCTGATTATCCAATGGAATGAAAAACTACTGTTTTTAGTCAAGTTGACTGATAACACTTCCAAGAGAGTGTCCAGGCAACAGAATGATTTACTGCTACTATTTCCTTTTGCAAAACTGCTCCAAATGCTTTTAATGAGCCCGGGCACCACCAGTAGTCCCCATATACAGTGACAATATTTGAGAATGCCATAGTTGGTCTAAATGGATCTTAACTTAAGTGTTTTAAGATAGCTGTGCATGGTCTGAACATAATTTGGAAGAAGCATTTTGGACCTTGTGCAAGCACATCTCTTCCATGTGCGTGAAAAAATGTGCCACTGCTTTAATTAACTGAATAATCAGAGTAGTACATCTTTAATGCAACTCTAAAAGCAGTGGCCTGTTTTTGTATGCTCATGCAGAAGCCTGCCTGGTAAATGACATACATGCTTTAATGAGGAGCAGCGAAGTTCTGTACTTGTGTGAGGTCTGAAGCTCTTCTTTTGAATTATTTGTGTATGTATAGGTTTGCAAAGTTTTGTGAAGATGGCACCGGTTTATTTGGAGTATGGTTATTCAGCTTCAAAATAATGTTTTGCACAGTGTTTGTAGCAATGGGGCATATAATCTAAGGGTACATAAATTGTGGACTTAATTTCTCACAGACGTGATGTTCACAAGAATTCACTGAAATGTAATATACAAGTTCTGAGATATGAGCTAACAGTACGCATTCTCAGGTTCTACTGTTCCATGCAAACTCATTCTTATCTCTTAATGTAAGAGTTAATTCTTAATTTAACTTTCATGACTGTGAGCCATGAATATGGATTATCTATTTGAGCCCATAAAACTGTTTTAGCTGCCAAGATGAAAAGAATAGTAGTCACTCTCCTTTATTTCTCTTGACTATGCTCCATTAATGCAATCTATCCAGGGTAGAATTTGATATTTTCTACATTTAGTTTTCAGACATAAAGATCTCCCTTTTTATAGTGTTTCGTTTCCAGTTTGAACATTACTGAAATGAATGTTCATCACAAAAGAATTCTGGATAACTGAATAAGACATAATCATTATGTGAATATCATTTAAGCTGATTACCTTTGCAATTACTATGTCTTAAGGAGTATTAAAATGAGAAGAGATACATTGAAGTTAAAGAAGAGAAAAGGGATCCACTGACATTTTTGAAATAGCCTGTAGTATTAGAAACAGAGTCTTTGTCTTTTCTATAAGGTTGAGAGTGAGTGCCATGTCAAGAATAAAAAAGTGGGATATCCTATTTTTGTACACTTGCTCTCTGTTGCTTTCTTTTTAAATTAATATTGAGCCTAGCTGTCTTGTGTTTCTGTTGGCTTTCATTCAGTCATTCAGAGACATTGCAAAGCAACATGACTCATCCTAACATCTAGGAAAAAGGTACTCAGTTTTTCTTTAATCCCATTGTTTCCTCCTTCTTTCCCTCCTTCCCTCCTTTCCTTCCTTCCTCTCAGTCCTTTTCAGCAGCTTTGAGGTTTAGGTGCAATGTGTTAGAGGAGGGGCATTAAGAGTCAGTTTCTGCTGATGAAATAGAAGAATGACACTGTTGGATCCAAGCCAACATATACACACATGGGTTAGACCAATTTGTTAAGTAGCACTGTCAGCCAAATAACACAATTATGTAGTAAATTCCTCAAAGTTTACTCCTAGTTAGTTATTTCGTTCTCTGCTTTGAGAGGAAACTTACATAAAGAAGGAATTGTTCCTTTAGAATCTTCTATTTAAGTTTGGAAATTAATCTTTTTGCTTGCCTAGGTATCAGTGCTCCTATTCACCAATATTTTGTTAATATTTTGTTATATTTATAGCCCAATATCTTATGATTATGCACTGCAGATTTTCTGTCTGACCCTTTATATAAGACCTAATACTTGGCTGTTTCCACTCATATTCCATTGGGCTGTGACAATCTCTGTTCATGAAAATGGTTGAAATATAAGTCCTCTGTGCTGACTCACAGATTAGGCATTAGCCCAACCATGCAGTGAATGTGGTTGTGTATAACAATTGGCCTGTCTAATTTCAGCCTGCCATTAAGTGAATAATTGCCTCATTGTGGGCAGAAAATCTGTTTTTCAGTCAACTGAACAACTAGATTGCATAGCTAGTTCTCATGTGAATTGAACTTTGTAAGATAAGAAAAGCAGTCCTGGGTGAGACCAAAAGGATAGTCCAGCATCCTATTTATAACACGATCAGACATATGCTTTTAAGAACAAATAGGGCAGCCCTTCCTCATAATTTGTTTTCCAGAATCATAAAATGTTTTACTGACTATTTATGGGCAAACTTGCCACTGAATGAAACTTTACTTTGCCTAGCTTAAAACACACGTACAAACACATGAACATCTGAACCAATGACTAGGTTGATACATCAATCATAATATGATTTCTTTGGTTTAGTATGTTGCATGAACGCACCTATAGAGATTGATAAACCATGGCTCAGCATGATGTGTGAACAGCCAACTGTATATTTAACTAACTGTAGTTAAAAATAACAATGGCTTAATGCAATATGTGAAGCCAGCCAATGGCCTCTCCAGGTTATATTATAGAGAATTCCCTTTTAATAGTATGTTGTATGTCCTTCTGTTTCTATCCATTTGGAGCTGACCACTGGGATTAAATCCAGATTAAATTAGTCTGTATCAAGGTAAAGTTCTGCATCAGAAGGACATCAGAAAAAATATAAAAATGGAAGTGGTGTGGTATGTTTTACTTCTTTAAATGACTTTAATGCCATGTTTTAGTGATAGTTTTACACTGAAACTTACTAGTTCTCTTCATTTTATCATATATGTTATGTTGTTTTTAGCATACATATTATATTAGCAGTACTTCTGTCCACAAGGTGGTTCTGTGGGCATCTTTGAGATTTACTGACTATTTCAGGGTTCAGCTTTTACACACTTCCAGGATGAATCAGCTTTAGCATGGACAAAGAAATTATAAGCTGGTAGTCACTTTTGAAAAAGGGCTTTTGTTAATAAAAGTGCCAGATGAAGTTTGATTTTGCGACAGTCATATATGTGCTGAAGCAGTTTATTGTCTTGCAGTTTTTATTCTTTGAGTAATGTGGGGGGTACATATATTTTACACGTTTTGACAGTTTATAAAAACTTGTCAGGTTTTTGTTCATTTAATGATGGCAAATGTCAAAACAGCATTTGCTGTGCTAAGCATAAGCAGAGCACTGAACAAATCTATTCAATTTACAGTTTGAAATATCTTTCAATTATATTATGCCTGGAACTGATAAAGTAACTCCATTAGATAGTTTGGCTATTATTGCTTTATGAAAAAAGGCTATAATAGAGGTATTTATCTTCTGAAAATTAGCATTTCTTCTTTGACTCATCTCTCTCCCTTTATTCTTTCATGATTTAGATGTTGACACATTTATATCAGATATCCTAAAAGGTGAAAATTTATCCAAAAGAGCAAAGGAAAAGAGGGATGCGCTGGTTAAGAAGATAAAAGACATCAGGTCCAAGTAAGTAATCATGAATGTATGAAGTAGTGAATAAGTTTGCAACAAATCTCTGGAATAGGCTATCATTATTATTTCCCTTTTATTGATAAGAAAACTGAACTGAAAATTGACAACCACTCAAAGCCATTTGAATAAATAAATAAGGGCTCCAATCCAGCATAAATCATTATTTATTTAATCAGTTTTATATACCATCATATTCTCATTTAATGTTTCAAACAAAGGAGACATGGGAAGCTGAAGCTCCTGTCATCACCCTGCTCTGGAATAGCTAGGAGGAGGAATATAGCTACAGGTAGTCCTTGCTTAATGTCCATTTGTTCAGCGACTGTTCAAAGTTATGATGGTGCTGAATGAAGGGACTTATGACTAGTTCTCGAAGTTCCAGCCGTTGCAGCACCCCCACGGTCACATGAACAAAATTCAGGTGCTTGGCAACCAGCTTGCATTTACAATTGGTTGCAGTGTCCTGC